ATACAAATTATAATAAGAGAAATTTCCACTTATGAAACTGGTAAGGATAAAAAAACATTAAAATGCTCAGTGTTGGTAACAGTATAGGAAACTAGCATTTACTTACTCACCTGGTAAGATTATAGTTTGGGAGAAAGTTTTTAAAACAGAATAAGATGATAAGTAGACCTGAAAGGTATGCATGCCCTTTGATCTACCAATTCAATTCGTAAGAATTTATACTAAGAAAATAATTAAGGATTTGGAAAAGGACAGTAGGAATGTTTATCCAAGCACTATTACTCATTGCAAGAAGTTGGGAATAGTTGACATGCCTAAAGGTATGTATTAATCAAATTGCATATATCCCCAAAGGGAATATATTATAGCTATTTATATTTTAGAGGATGTTTGTATAATATTAAAAATTATAAAAGAATAACGACATCCTATTTGTAAAAAGAAAGTCTGTTCATAGAAGAAATGTTGAAGGCTGTTAAGAATTGGCTGTTCTAGATGGGTGGATTATGTACGTATTTAATGTTTTCTTTTGCTTGTCATTACTTGCTAAGTTTTCAATAATGAACATGCATTGCTGTCATCATTTATTTATTTATTTATTTTTGAGACAGAGTTTCACTGTTGTTGCCCAGGCTGGAGTGCAATGGCACGATCTCTGCTCACTGCAACCTCTGCCTCCTGGGTTCAAGCGATTCTCATGCCTCATCCCTCATATTCTATAATATACATTAGGTTTTGCTTGGGTAACATACTGTGCAATCTGACTGAGGTAGGAGGAGGAATTCTCCTGGTTTGCTATGGCAATATAGAGTTTTTTTTTGTTTTTTTTTTTTTAAGACTTAGATATTATTTAGTCAAGCCCTCCTCATTTTACAATATGAGGAACCCGGGTCAGGCATGATGGCACACACCTGTAATCCCAGCACTTTTAGAGGTTGAGATGGGAGGATCATTTGTGGCCAGGAATTCTAGACCAGCTTTGGCAACATAGTAAGATCCTATCTCTACAATTTTTTAAAATTAGCTGGGCATGGTGGTGAGCACCTGTAGTCCCAGCTACTCAGGAGGCTTGAGGCAGGGAGGATTGTTTGAAACTAGAGTTTGAGACTGCAGTGAGCCATGATCATGCCTCACTGCACTTCAGCCTGGATAGCAGTGAGACCTTGTCTCTAAAATACATACTATGTAACATACATACATACATACATACATAATGTAACTTGAAAGAGGTCCAAGGGAGTGAGTGATTTCTTTAAGGCCGCAAAGTGAATTGAACAGCAACTATAATCCAAACTCCAGATTCTGAGCCCACTTATTCCCAAGAAATTGGCTGAACACCCCCATCAATGATCCTGGCTGCCCAGCTGGCCTTGGGAAGCGGGTATAGCAGCTCTGACAACAAGAAAACCCAAAGGAAACTATAAGTCAGTTAGGCAAAAGCCTAGTCACTCCATAACACTAAAATGAACTCCCAAGTGTCAGAGGAAACAGGAAAAACAGGAAAACACAGGGATCCTCTGTGTTGTCCAATATGAACTCTTTTGGAAGATACTGATTTTGAAACAGCCAATTCTGTGATAAAGCACAGAAGCCCTGGGTTAAGGACTACTGTATATAATGATTAACTGTGAGATATGCCCTTATATAACAAAATAGTTAATGTATTTATGGTAGCTTCTGACAAGGTAATAATTTTTTGGCTATTAGTTTATTTATTTTCTTCCATGCATAAACAAAGAATCTAATACGACATAGCAACAGCTCTCAAAATGTAGTCCACAAACCTTAAAGGTAGAGGTGTGGGGAGGGGTTCCTGACACCCTTTCAAGGAGTCTGTGAGGTTAAAAATCTTTTGTAACAATACTAAGACATTATTTCTCTTTTTTACTTTGTGAACATTTGCACTGATGGTGAAAAGCAATGGTGGATAACATTGTTGGTACTTCAGGACAAATTGAGTCCACAGCACTAAACTGCACTAGTAGCTGTATTTTTCATTGCTATGCACTCAGGCTAAAAATAATGTCAATTTCATTTTAGAATATCCTTAATGAAATGGTAAAAAGCATGAATTTTTACTAAATCTCTACCCTTGAGTTACATGTGACCAAGTACGCACAAAGCATTTCTGCTGTGTACCTGAGTATAAGGGTTGTCCTGCGGATTTGGTTGCCCAAATCAAAAGCACTTTTGCAATTGGTTGAACTGTGAGCTGAAATAGCTTTTTTTCATGGAACACCATTTTTACCAGAAAAAAAACTACTGACAGACAAACCAGGGTTATTCAGACTTAAGCATGTGGCAGAAATTCTGTCAAAAATGTAACAAAGTGAGACTGTCAATTCAAGTAAAACAACTGACAGTTTGTGTTGCCAATGATACAATTCTAGCTTTCAAGTGAAAACTAGCATTTTGGAAAATCCTATCTGCCACTGTGAGCTTGACAGCTTCCCAATACTTGAAGACTTTTCTGATGAAATGGGAAGACATTAAGGAAAGTGATTGTTTGATACTGTATAATGAAATATGTCAACATTAGGAAGAACTGTATAACACAGTGAACCACTAAAATTTCCGAAGGACTTATACTTAATGTTTAAAATATCAGGCATCGATCCAACATCCATTCAAAGTGTAAGGTACACCAATGGATATTAATGTAACAGTGTAAAAAAAGTACATTGATATAGTTTCAGATTCCACTTTGTAACTAACCTTTAAAAAGCTACCATTTGTCAAACTTTGATGTGATATCAAAGAATATCCATGATTATCTTTAAAAAGCTATTAAAATATTCTTCTTTCCAACTTCATATGACTGTGAGGTGGGATTTTCTTCATCTTAAACCAACATGAAACAGTGCAGCAGCTTAAATGCAGAGGCAGACGTAAGAATCCAGTTACCTTCTATTATGTCACACATTGGTTTTGCAAAAATGCAAAACAATGCCACTCCTAGGATAACTGTTATCAAAACCAGGAAATAAGTGCTGATGATGATGTGGAGAAATTGGAATCCTTGTGTACTGCCAATGGGAATGTAAAAATGGCACAGCCACTGAAGAAAAACAGTATGGTTTCAAAAACTAAACATAGTACTATCCTATGACTCAGCAATTTTCACTTCTAGGTACATATGGTATTCCAAAGAATTAAAAGCAGGGATTCAAACAGACATGTACACATTAACGATCATAGTAGTAGTATTCACAGTAGCCAAAAGGTGGAAGCAACCCAAATGTCCAGACAAATGGATAAACAAAATGTGATATATACATACAATGAAATATTATTCAGTTTTAAAAAGGAAATCCTGACACATGCTTCAATATGAATAAACCTAAAAAACACTATACTAAATAAACCAGACTCAAAAGGACAAGTATTGTATAATTCCACTTATATAAGGGACCTGAAATAGTCAAATTCACAAAGAAAAAATAATGGTTAACCAGGGCTTTGGGGAGGAAGTAATGGGCAGTTATTATGTAATAGGTACAGGATTTCAGTTTGGGATGATGACAAAGTTCTGGAGATGGACAGTGGTGTTGGCTGTACCTCTCAATTGCACACTTTAAATTGTACCCTTAAAAATTATTAAAATGGTAAATTTTGTTATATCTTACCACAATTTTAAAAACAAAACCACACAATGTTACTCTTCTCACTGATGGGGGGGGTGGTTTGGAAAATAGTTATTTTTCATTAAAATCATTATTTATGCACGTAGCCTATTTATTACTGTTTTGTAAATTAACAAATACTTAAAATTTTTCCAGCTTTAATGTCTAATATGGTAAATATAAACATATATACCATACAAACAGAAGCTCTTAGGTCCACGGTAATTTTTGAAAGGTAAAGGGGCCCTGAGAATAAAAAGTTTGAGAATTGCTCTTATATGAAGATTTATTTCCTCTTCTCACACCTGCATTATGTGAAGATCTTCATTTCTTGGTATAACTTCATTTGACAGTTATATCGATTGCAGCCTGGAGACCAGCAAAAAACGACAGGCTGAAATATCACAGATTATCACATTAACTCTTTGTAATTACCACTGTCGCCTGCCTGCTCCCTAACTCTACGGACTGAGCAACAAAAAGCTCCATCCATTCAGAGGAGTGGCAATGTGCAAAAGGGAACTGTAGAAAGCTTAAATGCTGACATGTTACAAAGTAGTTTTGTTGATAGCTAGCAAGAAGCACACATTTTCTTTTTTCTGTTGAATCTTCATTTGGATTTACAGTCCTGGGCAGATTTGGAAACGGGGATGGTGGCGGCATTGTTTCTGAAAATCAGCGCATTCGTGCAAAGAATCTAATTCCCTCACCATCTTGCTACTGGTCTGTTGCAGTGGGGTGTGGTTAGAGGGCTAGGAAGCAATCCAAAACAGCAGCTCAGGCTGCCCAAGGCCGAGTACAAGCGATCATTTTCTCCATTTTGGGCCAGGTCAATTTGCACCAGCAAGAGGCAGAATGTTTGTTTCATGGGGAGGAGGAAAATAAAAAAGGAAGTTAGAGAGCATGGACGGAAATAAGCAACACCACCAAAGAGGTTTCATCTCAGGTGGATGTTAAACGATTGGAACGCTAATAATGGGCGCAAGGGGCAAACAAAATTGTTCTGAGTCCACAGCTGCGGCACTTTTAATGACAGGTGTGCAGTTCTGCATTGGGGTTGAAAGTGAAATGATTTTCTTATCCAAACTATTTGCATTCATTTTGGGCCGCGTCTGTGACCAGCCTCGCTGACTGCGGCTGAGGCAGTCCCAAACAAAGGGGAATGGACGTCCTCCCGAGGGAGCGGAGGCGGGAAAGGTGGCCCCAGGTGGCCGCGCCAGGTGTGCCCAGGGGTCCACCTTGCAAGCCGCGGGGAGGGTGCGTCCCAGGAGCGTCGGAGAGGCGCGGTCGGGAAGGGTTGGGTCCGGGCTCCAGGCACCACACGGCGAAAGACCCCGCCCTGCCCACGGCCAAGGTTAACCCGCGCGCTGGAGGTACCTGCGGAGGCTTCGCACAGCCAAAAGGCACCGGGCGATCATGGGAGCGCTGAGAGGCTGGCGACGGTGGGCGCGTGGTCCTTCAGCGTGGCGCGACAAGGCGTGCGGCAGCGCCTGGGCGCCCGGGAGTCGCGAGCCGGCCTAGCCGCAGAGGCCACAGTGGCTGCCGGGCCAGCGCCCTCCCACGTGCGGCAGCTCCACGCCGGCGCCTACCAGCCCCGCCCCGCGCCGTGCCCCGCCCCAGCCCGCGCGTCCGGCCCCGCCCCAGGGGCGGTGCTGGCCAGACCCCGCCGCTGGAGCTAGAGCACAGCCGGGTGGGCTCTGGGGTTGGCGCCCTGGGGACCGGGGAAGTTTGCGCCGCCGCGCCCAGTGCTGCGATCCCGAGCCAGGCTTCAGCCCCGAGGACTAGGGGTCGGGCGGGCCGGCCTACGGAACCCCGCGGGCCAGCAGCCGTCGTCTCGCGTCCTCCTGCTTGGTAAGGGGGCTTCTGGCTGGCGAGGGTGCGCCTCCTTCCGCCCCGGACCGAGGCCCGCACTGGCACTCGCTGCACACCGGGCAGGGCCGAGGCGAGGCCGGGTGCCGGAGGGAGGACGGGAGGGAGGGGGAGCTCGATGCGCTCTGGGGAGAGGAAGGGGGAGAAGCCTGGACGAGGCTGGGCATCTCTTTCCCTCTTTGCACCCCCTTTTCCCCCCTTTCTGTTTTTACCTTCTGCCCTGGGGTCTTATTTATTGCTTGTGACCCCGTGGCCTAGAGGCTGACATCGCCTTTAAAATAACTACACAAATAATAAACGTTATAGCGGCGGGTACCACACCCTGGCTTTGAATTAGGGAACCTGGGGAACAGATGGATGATGCGATTTAGTGGAAATCAGCCATGAATGCCGGCTGGCCCTGCGCCACTGTTTGGATGCGATAGTATTCCATGTGAATGAACATGACCGGGAGCTTCCAGCTTGTCCACGAGAGCACAGCCTCTGCAGGGAGCGCCGGTCGACTTGTAGTATCCATCGACTTGGGCAGCGATTTCCTGACATGTCTGCTGATTAAATAGAAATGCCATTTTTATTAAGAACGACACTCACCAGTTGAACAACCTTTCGCGAATGTGTTTCCTCATCAAATAACTCTCAACCTACAAAAAGTAGGTAGTGTACATTATTAATACTTTTTTTAGGTCCCATGAAATAGAGGAAGATGCTTGGTTATAGATCAGCTTTTAGTCAGCAGTATGAAAGCCTCTCAACTTAGTACTGAGGCCTTTAGGGGATTTCGGTATGGTGAGATACTCAGTGACAGTCTAAGCTTATGCTGTACTTGTTTTGAAGACATTTTTACTTGTTCCAAGATTTAACATACTCTTATACCACTGGGTATTAATGAAAATATGTAATAAATTACCTTCACAATACTTTGTGCTCTCCTGACTCTTAAAAAAAAAAAAAAAAGATGAAAGGTCATACAGTTTTGTGTTTTGTTTTTACCTTTAATACAGTTTATAACCCGTATCATCTTTGTAATTTATGACTTTTCTGACTGATTCTTCAGAATAACTTAGTTCAGTGTTTTCATTTTTCTTATCAAGGAAAAGTGTTTAAGCTTCTAAAATGTCATCTATCAAGCACCTGGTTTATGCGGTTATTCGTTTCTTACGGGAACAAAGTCAGATGGACACTTACACCTCCGACGAACAAGAAAGTTTGGAAGGTATGCATCTGCTCTTTGTGTTCATTTATATTATAATTATAAACGAGGACTAAAATAGCTGTAAGCCCAGCTTGATGATCTATTGTAACAAAAATCAGAATTTTCTTTGATCTTTCAAGGAGAGGCCTGATTATAAGGTTATCGTATTTCCATTTTCTGAAGCTTGTTTTGTTTAACAACAAATTAAGAGGACTATTGTTTATTTATTGAACAAATACTATATGTAGAAAGTATGCTGTTCATATTATAGGCAATGTTTTCTTCACAGCAACTGTTATGTTAGTATTATCCCCATTTAACAAGTGAGAAAATGAAACCAGGGCCAGACTTGGTAGCTCATGCCTGTAATCCCAGCACTTTGGGAGGCTGAGGCTGGTGGATCATTTGAGGTCAGGAGTTCGAGACCAGGCTGGGCAACATGGCAAAACCCTGTCTCTACTAAAAATACAAAAAGTAGCCAGGTGTGGTGGCACTTGCCTGTAGTCCCAGCTACTCGGGAGGCTGAGACAGGAGAATGGCTTGAACCCAGAAGGCGGAGGCTGCAGTAAGCTGAGATCGTGCCACTGCACTCCAGCCTGGAGGACAGAGTGAGACACCCTCTCAAAAAAAAAAAAAAAAAGAAAAACCAAATAGCATAACCAGATAACACAGCTGATATGTGATAAAGCCTGGTTAATACTCTGAAGATCTTGTTGTCTGCATTTCCTAATAGGAAAGCATCCAGTTTAGAAATAATATATAAAAATACCTGAGTCATTTTAATAGCACTATGTAAAAGTCTAATAATTATACCACTAGTAAGATCTGACCAGTGCCTAATTTCGCACTTGAAATGAAAACATTTCACCTGTGTTTTACATTAACTTTAATATTGGCTTCAGTAATCTGTAAAGTTGAACAGGACGTAGGTGATGGTATCGTGTGTTTCCTCGACACCATCTTTGTTCTTCATGTTTATGTGTTACAAAATTTAAATTCAGTACAACCATAACAAGGTAGAATTTGGAAGATGGGCTTGTGGAGGTTCAGTGAATCTGGTGTCCCTGTGGCCTAAAGTCTTTTATTTATTTATTTATTTTTTGAGACAGGGTCTGTCTGGCTCTGTCACCCAGGCTGGAGTGTAGTGGCACGATCTCAGCTCACTGCAACCTCCACCTCCTGGGCTCAAATGATCCTCCCACCTCAGTCTCCCAAGTAGCTGGGACTTCAGGAGTACACTACCATGCCTGGCTAAGTTTTTTATTTTTTTTTGTAGAGACAGGGTTTCGCCATGTTGCCCAGGCTGGTCTCAACCTCCTGGGCTCAAGTGATCCACTCGCCTTGGCCTCCCAAAGTACTGGGATTACAGGCATGAGCCAGCCCTCCCAGCCCTCAAGTCTTAATTATTGCAGTACGAGTGCATTTGGAAGAACTTAATAAATAACAGTATAGTTTAAATTTCCCATCTTAAAACTGCTTCTGTAATTTCAACAAGCACTTCCCTGTGAATATGCTTTTAGGAGGTGGAGATGAAAATTGGGCATTTGCTCTAAATCTGCTTGCAGTCTGGTTAGATGATGTCTTTCCAGGTGGCAGTGAGAGGAGCAGGTGATGCACAGTTGGAGAACATTGCCATCAGTCCATTTAATATTAAGGTCTTTTTGTTCTTGATGATTAGACTATGTGAAGATAAAGTTGATTGGTTATCTAAGGAGAATGTTAGTTATGATTGCTCTGTAGCAAACAGATAAATGCAGTCATTTAAGAAAAGATGTTTCTTTTCTAATCAAAGGCAGCATAAAAGTTTTAAGGGCCAGAAAGAAAATTGAGGTTTTTTTTTTTTTTTTTAAACCAAGATGTTACGTCCTATTTTTAGGATGGTATTCAGCCAAAAATATGTGCCTTCAGCTGTTTGTTATATATGGCAGTCAGAAAGGGTGCCAATTGTTTTTGACTGACCCCTATTTTTGACTCTGTGAGTCTAATTTAATTGAACATGAAATCATGTGGAGGTGTCTGCCCACCTTCTAGACATTTTTAAAAGCCCTGGGAAAGAAGCCTCAGTTCTGATACCAGCTTTACCACTACTGTGAAGCTGATGTATCATCAGCTTTGTCTTGCCATCAGATTATGTCACCCACTCCTCAATTATTGTCATCTACTGACATTTGCTTCGTTCCTTGACTAATTGTGGTTCCTGTTCACTGTCACTCTCTGTAGCACTACTCCTATTTAGTTCTTGGCAATTGCAATATACTGATAGATGATTATTTTAGTTCCCTGGCTCTCAGTTCTTGACCTCGTCCAGTGATCTCAAATACTTGATCATATTCTAGATCAGTGGTTCTCAACTCGGGGGTGATTTTGCAGTATCTGGATACATTCTGATTGTCACAACTGGGTGAGGGGGGTGGCTGGTATTACTGGCATCTAGTGAGTAGGTAGAGGCCATGGATGCTGCTAATGCACAGGACAGCCCTTCACAAGAAGAAATTACGTGATCCAAAAGGTCAGTATGTAGAGATTGAGAAAGCCTTCCCTAGACTTAATCATTACCAGAATTGCATTCCTCCCCTAATCTCTGTCCCAAACATTTCACTTCCTGACCACTATTGCCTGTCCTTCCAAGCTCACTCCCTCTAGAATCCCTACTCCAGCTATTCTTTGACCCAACCAATACCTCCAGTCTGTTCATCCCTCACCTTTTCCCACACCTCTTGTTACTCATCTTAAATTCCATGGTTGGTAATTACAATTATTCCCTCGTAACTCTTTCCCTTTCTTGCAAAGCCCAACTTTGTTTAAATCCAGCTCTCCACCTACTCTGTGCCCACCTACTCACACCCACTCATGTATATAGATGGAGCAAAACACACAACTTTGCTGACTAGTCCCACTTGAAATTCATGGCTCTGAACTTCAAGCAGCCTTTAATGCTTTAATGCTGTCAGGCAATCACGCCCTCTGTTCCAAGTTCATTCGTACATTTATTTTCCTAGATGACCATTTTAACACTTTCTCATATCTTCTGAAACCCTCAAACCTCTTTCACTGTCCTCACTTTTAGTTGGTTACTTTGCTTTCTACTCCACCAAGAAAACTGAAATAATAAGAAAATAGCTGGGTACGACAGCACTCACATACTCGGCCTGCCTGCCTGTTTGCCTAGCTATTACCATAGGTGGACTATTCACGCCTAAATGGAACCCCTCTACTGGTATACTAGATCCTATCCTCTCTCACCTACTCCAGGATATCACTCTAGTTATTTTTTTTAATCTTATAAAATTTTCATACTCTACTGGATCATTTCCATCATAATATAAACTTACCATTATTCTCCCTTCTTCAAAAAAGCAAAAATAAACAGCAAATAATTATTTTACCATACTACCCCTAACCCATTACTGCTTAACTGTATGTCTCCCTTTGCAGCAAAACCATTTGAAAGAATTGACTATGCTTGCTTTCTCCAAACCCTCTCCTTCTATTCTTCTTAAACCCATTCTGATTAAGCCTTTGCCTCTCTCTCTCA